TTGCGATTTCCAAGTAATGACAAGAGAGATTAATGGCTCATTATTTTCTCTTGGTAATGATTCAAAGTTGCGAAACTGAAAAAGTGGCTCAAAGATCGGAAGCCGAACTTAATTGTTATAATTCTTTTAATTTTACATGCGATCAGACTTGGCTGGTCGATTTCCATAAGAAGAGAAATAGAACCGCGTTTGTACTAAGTGCAAATACATTTTACGGTAAAACAGCTTACAAAGAAAGTGTGGCGGCCATAATTATTTGAAGATTGGGACTTCATGATCACTTTCGTTTAATTAAAAGGCAGTTTTATATATTGCTTATTTTATATATTGCTAGTTATTTCACGCTCGAACATGTCCACAAATGTGTCCTTGCGCGCGAAGTCGAAGCATTTTTCGATTGTATCTTCTCTTTCGTTTGAGTTTGTTTTATCGTGAAATTTTCATGCCAATATCTTTCAACCTGGAGATTTTTTTGTGTCGGCGAGCGACTTAGCAAGCTGTAGTTATAACTAATTTTTAATTTTTAAATGCATGCAGAGAAAATGAAAAGACTTGAACGGATTAGTTTCGTGAGATTTAAGAAGAAATAATTGGTGAATTTTTAAAACCACTTTTAAGCATAGACCGCTTAATCCATCTTACGCGTTAAATGCATCTTAAGGTGCAAGAAAAAAATTAAAACTCAGATACACCCCACGAAAAGCCTCACCACTTTGATAAATACCTTTTGCAAAGCATAATTATTCGGATAGTCTAATATTTGGCGAAGTTTTTATCAATGTTAAGGGACTTGAAAGCCTTCCGGCTCTCTTACCGACCATAGTATTGCAAAATTCTGGCACCTTCTCAATATAGGAAAATGAATTTGAGAAACGATGGTCTCACTTAAGTACGCTGAAATTCGGATCGAGAGATTTTGTGGCTGGGGTCAAACTCCTGTTCTGTTTTTGGGCAGGGCAATATCTTCCTTCTGCGTGCAAATGGACTCTAGACGCAGCAGTTGAGCAGGAGGGGGGAGGAGGAGGGGAAGGCAGAAACTTGTGATGGACAAACCAATATCTTAGAAGAGTAGCTAGAGACTAGCTTTAGCTTACGCGAGGCTCTAAAACTTACTATTCCTGCCAGTTCATCCCTAAAAAAATTTTGTTTGATTGTTGCAGTCAACATATCCGTTTCTTTCTATTTTTAAGTACGTTGGTTTAAAATGCGTTATTAGCACCGAGCGAACATCAAAAAAACGTCTGCCAAAGTATATTTTGCCACCCACCAAGGTTTTTTTATTATTATTATTATTGTTTGGCTCTCCAAAATTAGTACGTATGATTAAAAGGATCTCCATACTTCAAATTACCAACTGCTGTTTTTTGTTGCTTGATTAAGAAGCGTGGGGCGATTTTAAAGAGCCTCCAGCTGCTGAGATTGTAATGATAAAACTTTTGGAGAAAACTGTTTTCCGATTAATCGAGTGCATTGTTACTTTTGACAATTTAACATTTCTTGCCGCCACGAAATGTAATAAATTTTTAGGTATAAATAAATGGGCCAGTTTACTGGGCGTAGTTAAATGATATGGGACTTGTTTAGTAAAAAGCGACGCCAAACAGATAAAGATGGTACAGGTCACCTCTTTTCAGGTAACAAGAATTCTTCTCCTATGATTCAAGCTGCATAGTTGCGGATACATTATTCACGAAAAAAATGTAATCTCGTCGCGTTTTCGCGGTCGTTATTGAACTAGCATTGTGGTTGAATTTTCGCTAGAGAAGAGTTTTGATAAAGATACCACAACTAAGGAAAGAAGGTGTTTACAAGTCATGCAGTTAAAGTGCCCGGAATTTCCAACCACCTTCATAACACATTCTATGTACCATATTCGTCGGCTATATTCGCGTTTTTCCTTCCAACGGACTTTTCAAGAATCAGTCCTAATCATTAATTTGCCTAGTGCCATGAAGCGATCATCGCATGTTTGGGTCGCGATAAAATCGTCAAATTAGTGAAATAGGAAGGCAATTTGTGAGAAATTTAACCTTCAGTTAACCATAGTAATCGATTTGCATGTGCAGATGCTTAAAACTGGTGTAGCATGTACAAAAATTGAACCGCTCCGCAAATTCAGCTGCCTGGAATATAGTCGATAACAGAGGGGTAAGGTTCGCATAAAAGCGCATTAGTCAAATCGAGCACCGCAAACAGTTTCTAATCACCGCTGCGTGCTAAAGCTTTTAAATGCTCTTATCATGGGTGCCTCTTTTGGATACTATCGCTTATTATACGCACTTTCCTGCCGAGTTAAGGAGATACGTCCAGAAGTGCATGCAGTAACGAAAATGGCGAAAATTCGTCAAAATTGTCAAATCTGCCAAGCTGACTTCACTTAGACGGATTTGACTAAAATTCGTCAACATCGTCAACTCCGCTAAGCTGATTTCGCTGAGGCTAAAAATTTTTCTTATCTGCGTTCTTAAAATCATATCTAATTCATCTAAATGAGACATATTTCACTGGAAATTGAACAAAAAATAGGTAGGGACTTCTAGGCTTCATGGCTAAGAAAAGGCAAGACTTTACCAGACTTCTAAAGGGTAATATAAAGTCGAGGTTAAACATCATTATGCAATTTAGTATTCTATTTTTCTTCCACATAAAAACAATCTTTGTGAACTAAGCCTTGGGTGTTTTGTCAACATTTCCTAAAATTATCGTTCATTATTATATGGCAAGGAAGTCCCGAGGTAGATCCGAGCCTTCTGATTGTTTCTTAATTAGTCGGTATTTTGCCATTCGGAACGTTCCAAGGAAATGGTCATTAGTCTTGTATTTTTGTCTACGAAAACAAGCAAATTAAAACGGTGAAAACCATTTGCGTTTACCTTTTGTGTTTACCTTCACAAGTCAATGTGAAGCACAATAAAACATTTTCAACGATGAGATAATTTTCCGAACTACCGTATTTCAGTTCTCGATTACCTATCAGTCCCTGACGTTAAACAAGTAGTCCGTGGTTCATTCAGTTCAAAATTGTGTCCACTAAAATTGGTTTTTATAGCCAATCTCAGATAGCCATAAATTATCTTAACACATGTAGGAAGCTCAAGACTATGCATACCTAAGATAAAATGTTTAGGGAGCTTCAACGCTTCAACGGTACATCTAAAACGTCAAACTTACTTCAGTTTAGGATGGATATGTAAGAACCATTTCTTTCCTATTTTTTAGGATTAAGCGAGCTAACATGGAGCCAAACTTGACTACAAATGACACACAGTACGAAGTGTTGCAAGAGGGGCGGCCGTGCTTCATCTCTGAATTTCCACGCTCTGTCCAATCCCAATTTAGTTATTACTCTAGCTTGGTGCTACCTTGCCACAACCATGTTAGGTTTGTGGTGTTTCCTGTCAAACGGGTTGGTCCTGGTCACAATTCTGAGGGGTGGACTTCGATTCCGCCCAGGGTTTCTGTATCTTTGCAGCTTGACGTTGACTGACGTTCTGTGGGGTGGGGTAGTAACACCGTTGTACATTAGATTCAGAATCGCGGAGCTGATCGCCGGTGAAGCGTGTTTCAATCGCAGTGATTGGGACTCGCCTGTCATGGTGGTTTCTTTCTTTTTATGCCTTTTTGCTATGGTGGGAACCCTTCGAGTCATGAGTGTGGATAGATACTTAGCCGTCATTAAACCATGGTGGTACAAAGCTGCCATGAAGATGCAGTACGCCATTACTGCTTCTTTTGCGGTGTGGGTGACGTCCATTTTTTTAGTTGTTCTGAGGCAGGTAAAGTTGTTTCCTAGGAGGGCTGTTGAGACATTTGAAGGCGGATACATCATTTGCTTCTCCGCGATTGTAATTGCCATCCAGTTGTGTACTCTGGCTGCTCTCCGCAAGCACAACAATGCCGTTGCACAGAAAATGGAAGAAAGCTCTCGGGTGAATCCAAATTTAGCTTCTCAAGAAATCGAACGGCAGTTGGCGGCGACTACTCGTCACGTGGTTAGTCTTCTGGGGTTATGCATCATACCTATTGCCATTTTAGTGGGTTTATCAAACGTACTTCAAAGGGAATTCATTCTATTTGTAGAGCCCTTTTACTTTCCAGTGGCAAGTCTTTGTTCGAGTATGAATCCTGTGCTGTACTACAAAGGAAATTCAGTCATAAGGGAGGGAATCAAAAAACTCGTTAATTGTCACAGTCTTAAGTGTTTTGATTCGCAGGACGAGTAATAAGTAAACCTTGACATTCTTCTCTCAAATAATTGGTTTCGAATGTCTGAAACATTCGTTTGTTATTTCTTCGAACGTTTTCTAACGCAACTCGCTAAATATCCCGGCGTATTATAGGTTGAACTGTCGGATATGGAGTTCATATTCACTGAGCCTGATGTGAATGATTGTCTTTGTATAATTGCACAAAAACTTTCGCGGGATTCTTTGGCAAACTCGTTTATGTTAAAACTATGTGTAAATAAAGAAGGCAGTGTGCATATATGTTACAAAATTTTTGATCACTCGTATCGAGATAAACAACCAGTTTCCATAATCAATCTAATCAGCAAAAACTTCTTATCTTACTTTTGAAAAGTGTTCCACAAAACCTGTTGGATTCTGTGCTCTTCGAAATTGAATTTCTTCTATCGCGTTTATCACTTCCTCGGTAACTTTGACAAAATGCAAAGCAGCCATTTTATCACCCCTACTATAATCACCTCGCGAGATATAATGCAAACCGCGACTAATCACAGCGCGAGAATCTATTTAATCCACCGCATGGAACCTGGAAGCGATTGATTGAAATTAGAACATGCACGACTCCTTAATGCCGCGTTCGTCTGCGCATGTACTTAAGTTTGCTTACATATATCTGCCTTAGCTTCTCATTGGCTCTTTGGTTTCTTGATTTGTTCTAAATGGCCGTTTAAACTATTTTGGTTTAAGTTTAACGACACTTCAACATACTGTACAGCTAAACAAGGCAATAACTCTACCAAAAGTTACCATCAAATTAGAGCTTTATTAGATGTTAGAAAATGTAAAAACAATGTAATAAATTACCGTAAATAATGCTATCTAAATAAAGAAAACTTTCACTTCGATTTCAATATTTAACTTGACTTTCTTTCATATAACATAACAAATACTAGCGACTAGTCATGTGACGTTCTTGGTTAATCCATTTCTTGAAAGAGTTGATCACCTGTCAAAAAACTGTTACATTTCAACGATAACACATTTTTTCTCAGTGTTTTGGCTAATAGAATTTTAAGCAATCCACATCAGATGGCAAGGTTTCATCAGTATCGGACTCCGAACCACTGACAAGCATTTCAGGCAATAATACCAGTTTCCTTCCTTCTCTACTATCCTCTGAGGTGTGATGGGAATGGTCCGGGTTCGTTGGCGCTGCTCGGAAGTTTGCATCATCTTCGGCTTCGTCCTCCTCCGATGACGACCATACTTCCCAACGATCAAAGTCAATGGAGACGTAAGGCAACTGAAAGAAATCAAACAAACAAAAAATAAGTCAATAAACGAACAAAAAGAAATAAGAGAAACTATGAGGGTCAATCCATGTTGACTAAGAACAAACTACATGTTCTACTGTATATGTTACCTTTTCTTTGCTCTTCAACAACCGCGTCCACACGGCATGGTTTCTTTTCTTGAGTAAAATTTGTACCTCCGAGCCCTTGACAATTACAGTACTTTGCTGCAATCATCCAACGAGAGAACATAATTAACAACACCGCAAATTGAAAACAGATAGACTGTCAACGAAAAGACCTCAGACCTACCTCAGGATCAATCTCCTCTAATAGCTCCATGTCCAGTTCATAAACTACGTGTCTTAGCTGTGTACTAGTGAAAGAAAACATTAATCATATTACAACAAAAACATACAAACACACAAACAAAATGCATTATTACAGGTTACGAAGTAGGAAAACTTTGAGCTTGTTTCTTAAAAAAAAGTTTCCCATTTGTCACCAGCTCGTGTGGGGGTCGAACCTCGTACGGGTTTCAAGAACCTTTTCCATAAACGGCAGCCGATGGTGTAACAGGCAGCTGCCCCCTAAGGAGAAACCCACACACGAGAACCTTCTCGTAAGCTACTGAAACACACGGCGATGAGAGGTCGTTTGAGCGGCGGTAGATCGCCTGTAATCAGCTTTCGTTAAACCCTGCTCAGAACGTCGGAATTCGCGGTGGAATGCTCCACTCTTGCGTTCAAAAATACTTGGAAGCATGCTTGGTCATTTACTAGGTTCGCATATGACAGGCGAACTGCATATTGCTGGGATCAACAAGTGTGCATGGTAAATTGGGATATGTGCGCGACATAACAATATTAGAATGTCCCCTGAGGATTCGAATATTACAGTAAAAAAACAACCTGTGAAAATGTAGTTTTGACCCAATTATAAAAATCTCTCTTCAAAGACGTTCCTTGTCTTTCGTGACTATTTGCTTACGGTGGACTAATCGAAGAGTCATCTTCGAGGAAGATGATTTTGAATGAAGAAACTCAAATGCTGCCAAACTTACCTAAACTTGAGCCTGCTCGCAGTTATCTCGGTCTGCTGTCTCTCCACTCCACGCAGCTTCACACAAACTCGCACCAGTTCTCTCGTTTGTGACCACACTGTTTTCGGATGCACGCTGGAAAATATATAAATCATCATGGTTTTAAATAGGGGCAAGAAAATACTAATTTCAAATTGTTAAAAGGATTCTTACATATGTATATTTAAGCGAGTTAAGAGCAGTTTTCCTACCCACGTGTGAGATGTTAGAACAATCAGAAGTTTTTCCCCTTCCCATACTCCAACATCGGTCAGGTTACCTTGTTTATCTGCCAATACCAAGTTATTTTCACGGGGTGGATGTGAACATTGCGATGGTCTAGACCTACAATTGGCGACAAAATTGCTGACACATTGACCTTTTCAAGACCCTCTTACTTCAATTTTATCTCTTTTGCCCTTGTTAAGTTTACCTATTCGCCGCCCCCTCCCCTCCCCTTCATAAAAATGTTGTGTCGTGATTCCATGAACCGTTAGCTTCATACAGGCAACATTGAATAGAGGAGGGGAGGTCTTGTCAGTAATTTCTAGCGTGGTAGAAACAGGAGTGTTATTCTACACATAAATAGGACTCTTCAAACATGATGTGACAACTGATTGTAGGAAACAGAAGTGTTACTCTACACATAAATTGGACTCTTCAAACATGATGTGACAACTGATTGTAGGATAAGGGCCACCTTTTACAGACTGTGTGTCCTCCGCGACCGAAAACGAAACAGTTGACGCTGAACATAATATTAAAACAAAATACAGTATGTCCTAAAACATCACACACAATACATTTAATAAGCCTCCGGGATATATTACTCCTCCAGGTTTCCACTCACGACTAAATGCAAGCGCATGCAATTTGTATTTATTTGTTCATTAAACCTACCAATGTCTCAAACGGAAACTGGTACATGCTTGAAATTGTAAAAAAAATTTGGAACTGACACGCTACCCAACCTAAGTGAAGAACATTACTGCGGTATAACCATGGCTACAGCCCAAACATGGATTCTTCAATCCCGACGTCCAAAGCTTTGTTCTCATTCAAAAACAGTCTTCTTACAATTGCAATTTTTAAAACCAGCTCACCTAAATGGGTCTAAATCATTCTCTTCTGCACGAGGCCCAACGCTTACAGTAGACCTAGCCGCAGCATTTCCTGTCGTCTCCGGCCGAGAGAAATTTTCCCTCGGGGAAAGGTTCTCAGAAGTATTTGGAGCTGGTGTGATCATCGCAAACGGAATTCTCTCATTTTTCTCGTTACTGTCCTCCCCACCCAGAGGGGATAAGTCATCGTCATCTTCACTGTCAATATCACCATTCTGCACCAGACCATTGACTGATCTCGTCTCAGGTTCTTGCTTTACGATTATGCCAGAAGCGATCGCACATTCCTTGGTTCTATCGTCAGGTGCTGTAGTGGTCGAGCTTGTTGTATGGATGTTTCCAGCTGCTGAGCCAAGAAAACGCTGCAGTAGATCGCCACACACACCGCGAGGAATGATACCTAAAGTTTGCTGCTCATTTGTCATTAAACTAAAAAGAAAAGACACAAAATTGTTGAAAAGTACATTGTCAAGAACGTGGAGCAAGGAAGAAGCTGAGTCCCCCCCATGAGAACACTGCGTTACAAACCTTCGAAGTGTACCAATCACTCCCAGTCTGACCATAACATCCTTATTGTGTTGATTACTACTCGCCAGAGTTTTAAGCGTCAGGGCACCTTGCTTTATGATCTGGTAAGAAAAAAGTGTACAATGGCCTTTTGTTCAGAAGGAGAGCTGTTAACTTTGCGTGATTGGCTTAAAACTGCCGAGAGTAGTCTGACACTGCTGAGGCGAAGTTTAATGAAAACTATTAGCTCCGAGAATACAGAAGGGACATATACGTAGACAAATTTATCTGAGAAAATTTTCAATTTTGACCAAAGCCAACATGTCTGCATAGCAGTACTCATTTCAATGTTTGGTCCCTCTGCTCATATTTATGATCTCACCTGCTGTGAGGTTGATTCTTGCAACTTTTTGCAAATGTTCTCAAGGCCTCCATATTGTCGAATGAAATTGCGATTCCTAAATAAGACAACAAAAACAAATAGATAAAAAATAAACAATGACGATGGCATTGAGAAAAATAAGAAATAAATAGAGCATCTGGCATCATTGAACCTTAGCATTGCGTTCCATATTCATGATTGAAAATTAAGCGCATTTCGATGGACATAAATGACCAGAGAGAACAATGGTAAACACCTACCACGAAAAGCAAATGAGGAATCAATGTAAAAGCAACCTAACTAACTGAAAAGCGGGAAAACGTGGGTGACGAACACTCGACTCGTTTTACTTTGAATCTGATCGGTTGACGTTGGCGCGAGATTTCAAGACCAATCATACTACAAAGGGGAGTTTGAACCAATCTAACCCAGCATTGCTATCAACAATCAATTAAGACTGAGTTATCAAACAATAAAACAAGAAAAAAAAGGATCGACTTACTTATTGTCGATAGCTAAGTTTCCTAGCGCCCACATCGTGCGCTCTAGAACATTTTCGCTGTAAGTCACTGTGACCAATTCACACATCGTTTTCAGGCCACCACAATCCCGCACGGCTTGACAGTTTCTGTGGAAACGCAAAATATCTGACCATCATTAACAATCACTGTGGAACAAATAACAACCATCAAAGTTATCTATAAGATGAGGCACGTATTGCTCATGTCATTTTGCTGTGCGTCGATTACCTTGAATTAATTCAAAAGACTTTGATGTTTGAAATCTCCACAACCTATATGGCGGAAAACATTCTAAGAAAAGTAAGAAGATACATTGCAAGGACCGCATAAAAAGACAATTGATAGTGCAATCTCCCCCCCCCCCTCCCTCCCCACCCATCAAATTATTTATCGCGCAGAATGCCTATTGTTCTCGGGACATCTAATTGCTGTGGCGAAAAATTATCGATCTGTAATATTAGCAGCAAAGCGTCCAAAAGTTGGTCTTCATGGATCGCTTGTTTTGGCCCTTCTTCTCTTATTTTGGTCTTTCGCATTTGCGCGTTCGCATTCAAAATTACCCGCTTTAGTGCTCATGAATAACTAATAATGTTCAGGCATTCTGTGCGATGAGCTATCAAAAAAGCCAAGGACACACCAATAACATGAGGACTGATATCCTTCATTCATCAACTCAAATCCATAGTTGGAAAACGTTTTTACCTGGTGTTGTCATCTACAAGAGATCCAATAGCCCACGTCACTCTCTCCAAGACCTGCCAGGAAAATGGCAGCACGTATTCTCAAAATCCAGGTTATTTACGAGCCCTTCCAATTCCTTTCCCCAACCCATATTAAAAATCATTTTGCTCTTTCCTTTATCAATTCGTTTCTGACTCCTTTCCAAAGTAACACTCACAAAACAGTCATAACAGGTAAAGGAAAAAACGCTAAATTTTCCGCCATGTCCTCCGAAATGCCAAAGAGTGACATAAACTTGAAATCGAAGTCTCATAGTATCATGTTCGGGGGGAAGGTCAGGAGTTTTGAATCCCCAGTCTGCCCGCTCCAATCTCTTTAAGAAGCAAAATAACACAACATACACGTAACGTTTTTATTTCACTGCGCGTGAGCGGGCAGAATTGAAAAAAATCCTATCATATGACTGGTTTCGTGACCGGTCATCATTTTTCACTCCACACCACCCAAATCGTGCGAATGCTCCTTAAACGACGCAAGCGCAAACAAAAGTAGAGCACTGCTCGCGAGGAGCCAAAAATAAGCAAACTAACTTTGTCATCCATGGTGGTTCTTAAAAGTTCACAAAAAGCCTGGAGCCCTCCTCGAGTTCTTGCCTCATTTTGATTTCTGTCGAAGGATAGAAGGAGAAGTTTCAAAACGTCAATTGAAATAAGTAAAACACTTAAAAAAAAAACGGCATAATTCCGGATACTATCCGACAGCATTCTTATATATGAAAATAAACAATAAATTTACCTTTCTGTGGTTCCCAGGTTCTTCAAAGCCCAAGCTATGCTTTCTTGGATAATGCTGTCTTTCGTCTTGACAGGACAGATTAAAACAGAGAACGAAGAAAAACGACATGTTGGAATCTCACAACAAACAGGACTAAATCAAATCTCTTTACTGTCTGCCATACATTTCCCATGATTCAAGTTCTAAGGGTTTGGTTTTAAATCAAACAACGTTCCACATATCATATCTTTCTTTTCCTTCGTCACCTATTTGCTAGAAGATATATTGACGCCGGAAAGAGAAACCTCCTTTTGGTCACAAGCTAATAAATTCTCGAGATAGTACCATCTAATTAAGAGAGCTGTGTTTGCTCGCTTACATAGTCTGCCTTGGTCGGATTGTCAACGATATGATGCGGAACGTCTTAAAGTAAAGCGTAATAACAGTTTTCTACCGAGCCAGATAGTTTTCTTTCCTTTCTTTTTCCCTTAACAAAGCTTCAAGATGGTGGCGTTTCTACGTTTTTGTCATAAACAAGAAGAAAATTAAGTTCAGTCCGCTGCAACCGAAGTTACCGTTCCCGCAATTGTGCGAGTGTTAACCGGTAACTAACTACAAGAGAGGGTGATATACACTTCGAATAAGATAACTGAATAACTTTAGAATCTTAGCTAACTGGGAAAGTGATTTAACTAGCTTCAAACCCGTGATCGTACCTTTCCTAGCAAATAGCACATTGTTTGAAGTCCACCTTGGCTTGTTACTTCGTCGCAGTTACTAAAAATGAACAGCACCTGATACAACTAAGATGAAAGATACTTCGTATATTCCATTGGATCGAAATCACAATCGAACCCAACTACGTTCATAAGAAGAACTCACCTTGCGTTATCAAATGAAAGAGATGCAAGACTTGCTAGAATATGCTGAAGAACCAATGGATCTCTGCTTAGACTCAGCAGGCGACAAAGCGCCTGAACACCGCCACAATCCCTTATGTCATCCTTTGATCTAAAGATATTATAAAACGAATGTTCAAAGGTTCTCTCCTTCTCTTTCTCTTTCTCCTTATCCTCCTAGACTCCATCCTCGCCTCCTTCTCTACCCATTGTTCAATACCTTCCTCCCCTTCTCCATACACACTGCGGCATTCTTCCCTAACAAAACATTCCTGATTACCTTTCTCGCTCCCTTCTTCATCTCTCCCTTACTTCCTTTTTTCTTCCATCGCTCCTTTCCAAACTCCGCTTCCTTCCCCTCCTACCTTACTTCGCATTCTTATACTCCTTCATATCATCCATCCATCCCTTCATTCCACATTCTCCGTCTTCACTTCCCACTTCCTTCCTCTGGTTCTTAATTCCTCCATCCCTCAATCCATACTTACATTCCCTCATTTTCTCTTCCTTTCTTCTTCACTCCTCCCCTCCCCTTCTTAGTCCATCACCACATCCCCCCCCCCCCCCATTACTCCTAAATCTCCTGTCCTCCTCTCACAGTTATTCCCGTTATACTTTCTTTTCTTCCTTGCGACCTTCCAACGTTGCTCATTCTTCCTTGCCTTCCGACTGCCTTCCTTAACTTCCCCCTTTCTATGGTTTGTTTTTCCACCTATTCTGCCTATCATATCTAATTCAAAGTTTGAATAAACCCCCTTACTTCTCGTTATTCAGGACAATGCTCTGCACTTCCTTCACAATTTCTGCTTTCTTTACTAGATCCTGAAAGAAAATTAAGTTGAAACATTGGTTAAAGAACATAATTGTATACCCTTTACGGTGGCTAATTTACGTTTTATTCCTTTGTAAAAAACATAGTCTTCCATATTACACCTCAAGCCTTCCTACCACAATTTTCTGATGTAGTGAGCAATATATCGCACGTGCGACTCTGGGTAAAATGGCAAATCTAACAATGTAATACATAAATACATTGGAAAAAGAATACACATTTTCAAACGGCGTAAATTCGTTGTTTTCAAGGTCGCAGTTTTAGTCCTTCAGAACAAAAGACCACCATACAGCTAAAAATCAAAATCCGCCCTGTTATCGGCTTGCATGTGCGCGTATTCGCAAAGAGTTCTGGGTGATGTTATGCGCAGAACAGGATGTGTGGTGCTTTAAAATGGATACATGCACTGAAAACAAATTTCAAGAGCTCCCAGTTATCACCTGCATATAAACTGCGCCTTCCGAAAAGTCATTCAACATCCGGCACAGAAGAACAACCTTTTTTCTCTGTTCCCAATTTCCCCAAACAAGAACATTTGCTGTCACAAAAAATAAAAGTTGAACACTTCTTTGGGGAAGTTGCGAGTGACAATGCCGCTCATGAAGGCACAAAAGCAGTGCTTATATTTTCCAGTTTCCAAGACAAAGTCAAAGTTTTCGCATAAAAAGACAAGAACATATATTTATTACGCGTGGTGAAGAACTTGCAATTAAGAGACAGAAGAACTCCTGGTACTTCATGAGTCACTCGAAA